AAATTTTAGTTTAAATATGAAATATAAAATAGAGAAATGATACAAGAGAGATGATAAAAAATTTGAGGGTGAGAAGAACAAATATTTGAATTTTTAAATTTAGTTTTGAAGGGTATTTTTGGTATTTCATAAATTATTATTGAGGAAATTAACTTTATCCGTGAACTATTCTAATGCGTGTTAGTTGGAAGGGGCGTGGTTATTATGAGTTTTAAATGTCCACAGAATTTTNGGGAGTGAAGGAAATGAGAGCAAATGAAATGAAAATGAGTTTAAAACATAGCAGCCCTGAAAAACACTGTCACAGANTTGAGGAAATTAACTTTATCCGTGAACTATTCTAATGCGTGTTAGTTGGAAGGGGCGTGGTTATTATGAGTTTTAAATGTCCACAGAATTTTGTGTAATTGTTGAAATATAAGGGATGTCCGTGTAATAAAATCAAATGTAAGAGAATGTAAATATAATTTACCCTTTAATCTATTTTTTCCACAACCCTCCCAATATCNTTATCCGTGAACTATTCTAATGCGTGTTAGTTGGAAGGGGCGTGGTTATTATGAGTTTTAAATGTCCACAGAATTTTGTGTAATTGTTGAAATATAAGGGATGTCCGTGTAATAAAATCAAATGTAAGAGAACGTAAATATAATTTACCCTTTAATCTATTTTTTCCACAACCCTCCCAATATCTAAATTGTTTAAAATGACTCAGAAGCTGCATACAACACTCTTCCGAGGTTAGCCCACATTGACTAGAAAGTAGGATGATTGGCACGTCATAATTCTCCAAAATCAGAAAGAAAATGATCAAATATATATATATATATATGGCCATCTACATTAAAGCAAAATAAAAAATGAGCAGGCAAGGAAGGAGTAAACCGAACCTACATCCTAACATTTTTTTTGTTTTTGTTACAGCTGCTTATTCCTAAGTAATAAATAAATAAACAAGTGGATCAACTTATGTCGCACCCCATTTAATTTGATTGTGATTCTTTTTTACATGAACATAAAACATAGTGGGCTAATAATCTCTTACCCATATTATGGTATGTTGTCACTTTAGATACTCATGTGTTTTTTTTTTTAAGAGGAGTTTGGACATTTTAAAATACTTATCTAATATTCTCCAACATATAAATCCTTCTCCCACATGCACCAGGTGCAAATTGTCGGGATAAATTCGTATGGGACATGATGTAAAGAGTTGGTGAGGTTTAATCACAAGATCTTCATCTTTTTGAGGTGGTTAAATCATCTCATTTAACTAAAGTAAAAAATGGTGGAGTGAGAGTAGAGCTAATGTCCTTATTTAATCTGTAGGTTATGAGAATGAATGAATGAATATTTATATTTACATTTACATTTACATTTACTAGCAAGGAATCAAATCAACTAAATAAGAAGGAATCTTAGATTTGCAACTCAAATGAATATATTCTTCTTTACACCGCATCTACTAATATTTTTTTTTTTAATTATTTATCTACTCGGGTTACATAATTTCAATTCCCCCATCAACACTAAAAATATTACATCATAATTATAAAACTTTTATGTTTGTCTTATTGTGACTGTTAATTTATTATTAATTTATAAAGTGATGTGCAATAAATGGTAAAAATAAATAAATAAATATTATGTTTTTAGGAAATAGAGCACAAAATACCAGTTGACCAAAGTCTAGTCTAGATCAGGTCTTTTGGCATTTTTCCCATCCAAATAAAGTGAAAATCTCTAGTCTGAAGATCCCAACTAGATTTGTATCCCATGGTGGCCCCTTTTGGCACGCAGCAACACATATCAAAATCGGACGGACAGGGATTACTCTTCACCTCAATGGTAAACACCTCTGCCGTTGATCAAATGGTGGTCCCACACATGATACAACGAATATGACGCTGGTGGGCCCCACTTTTCAGCCTTCTGTCCACGCTATTCTGCCTGATCATTATTTATTTATTTATTTGTCAGTAGTCCGATTGCTCGTAATGACGATAATACCCTTTGAAAACCTCAATTCATAGCCAGTTTGCCAACAGGGGGGGGTAACCTGGTTTTTAAACCCTTGATTCAGGGACGCGTGTACGTTTGCGTGGTCAGCAGGATGAGGAGCTTCCTAAAGCGGGCAGTAGGAGTTGTCAACGTCATGTCTATAAACTGTTGCATGCAGCCAACACGTGGCGGTACAAAAACGATTGCCCTTAATGCCCGACAAAAATAACTAAAAATGCAAACAGAGTTATATAATATTATCATAATAAAAAATAATTAAATTTAAATTCTATAAAAATAAGATCAAGGTAATTATTATAATAATATTACATCATTCGATTACTATTTCTCATCTCTTTTGTTTTTTTTTACTATTCTATCATTAATTAAAATTATATATATATATATATATACTACTAATAAAAGTACCTCAATATGAAGAACTTTTGATTCACTATTTTACCCTCATAAAAAATTAAAAAGGTCACTCTATCCTTTCATATTTAATATCTAAATTACCATCACATCCTTATATATTTAAATCTTCAAATTACATCTAAAATCACTTTTAACTATATATTTCCTATGTATAAATGTCAATTTTTATAAATCTTTTTTGATTGATTATATTACTATTAAAAAATATATGCATCCTTATAAGTTTTAATAAAATATTTAAAAAAAATTAAAAAATTCCATCAATATAATATTATTCATTTCATTTACAAAAGATAATATTATAGCTATATATGTATATTTTATTTTTCATCAAAATGTTTAACCCTTTCGTTTTTAAGAAAAAAAATAATGTTTTATAGCTTTACATAATTTTTAGTCACAGTAAACTTTTTAGTCTGTGTTAAGATTTTATGTGAAAACTTGATTTAAAAATTTTAAAATATTTTATAATATATATTATAGCATTGTATATTAACTTTTATTTCAATTGACCTAGATAATCCTAAATACCGTAAATTTCTAATATGATTGGTATATTGATAATTATTTTTATTTTATTCAGTAATTTATAAGTGAAATATTAATCAAATTAATTTTTTAATTATCTACTCTCTATTTATAAATGTCAATTTTTATAAATTTTTTTGATTGATAATATTAATCTTGAAAAATATATGCATTATTATAAGTTTAACAAAATATTCAAAAAAAAAAAAACTTCAAAAACTCCAAAAATATAATATTATTCATCTCATTTATAAAAACAATATAATGAGTATATGTGTATATTTATAAAATGTCAATTTTTATGAAATTTTTTGATTGATAATATTACTCTTAAAAAATATATGCATTATTATAAGTTTGAAAATATATAAAATTTAAAAAAATTGGAGCATGAGAAATGAAATAATAAGTTTGATAATTTATGATTGTATTTAATTTAAGTACACATATACTAAAAATTTATTTATTAATATTTTTAAAAAAAAATTAGTTACATACAACGCCTATGGTGCATTATTAATATGTGCATTACTAATATATATAAAAGACTGTGTATTTCATTTCGTTTGGGCCGCTAAGTGCATTGCATGAGTGGGGGGTGTTCATGTGCAAGTCGAAGTGCAACCTACACTCCCCCTACGGTATGTGCCCCGACAATGTCACGCCACACTACACCCACGTGGGACTCATCCTTTAAATTTACTGCTCCCAGTCCCATCCCATTGTCTGATTTTGTCTATGGGATAATGTCTTCCTTCTGATCACGCGCCACCAACCAACGCTCTTTTCGCAGTGTGTCATGTGCTTTATCCTAAGCATTCAATAATGTTACTCAATAATAATTTAACTCACACCAAGTAAAGTGAAACAGTAATGAGTCGGAGTTGAAAGTTAAATGTAACGGAACAAATTTCTAAAGCTAAACTAAACTATTATACAAGTCATCCAAGTTTGCAATCATACCATGTAATAAAAATTAAAAGGCAGTGTAAGATGACATAAAAACACCTATATATATGTGTGTGTGTTTATAAGTAATCGACAACTACGTCTTATGCATCAGTCAAAACTATATTATAAGAAGCATACTATATGACAAATAGTGTTGACATTATGTGATCTAATGGATGCGGACCACCCTCAAAAAATATTTCCAGCCCTCTGGACCCCACACTATTAAATTTAATAAGAGCAACTCCACTAATACTCTTTATTTTAGACACTATTTATTTTTTCAAATAGAGAGATCAATCATAAAAAAATTGAAATAAAGATTGAAATATTTTTAACTACTCCAATAGACTTTCTACTATTATATAAAAAAAATATAGTCTTATACTCAATAGCATTTAATGAATATTATATATGTGTCACATTGCCATTTATTAAAAATAGAATAGAGAGTGAGTTAGACTTGCCAAATATAGAGAACCAAAAATAAAAAAACTATTAAAGCCTGATTTTTGATAAAAAAAATATAGAATTAAGTGAGAATAAAAACCCTTAGAGTTGCTCCAAACATATATTTTTAGCACTCTTATTTTTTTTTTTTTGGTTAGACTATTTGGTATCCGAAAGTCACAACGAGCTCCGATTAATTCAAATTTGAGCCGGATAAGACCACAAAGACGACAGTTCTTTCTATCAAAAATAGCTGTATTCTTAACTCTCAAATTGAGAAGTTTGATTATTAAGTTAAAACAACCCCTCAACAGATCTCAAGTAAAACACGCAACCTCCGGCAATAAGAGCGTCGCGTTGAAATCACGAACCCACCTACCACTTTCGTCATTCACTCCGTGGCGGCGCTAGACTCTAGTCTCTAGTCTCTCCTAAGAAAGAATTTTAATTTCTACTAAATCATCTCCATATCATCCGTATATTCATTAATTGATTGGTATATATATATAGCGGTTATACGTATGTATGTATATATATATATATATATTTTCCTCTCACTTGTCGAAGCTCCCCCAACCCAAGTCCCTATATATACCAATCAATGCCTCTTCGTTTTTGCCTCACAAACAAACAATATCTTCTCTGTATGTGCTTGTAATTGCATAATACATATATATTCACACCAGTACACCACCCCCACCCATGGGAACAGCCATTGAAAGCCTCTGGGTCTCTGCTCTTCTAGCTTCCAAATGCAAATCCTTCGCCTCAATAAACTCCATATATCTTGTGCTTTTCTTTGTTCTAGCTTGGCTGGTGATCAGCTTGTTTTACTGGGCACACCCAGGTGGTCCAGCTTGGGGCAAGCATAGGTTCAGAACAACATCACTTTCAGCTTCCTCTGGTAAGCAAATACCAGGTCCAAGAGGTGTCCCTTTTATAGGAAGCATGAACCTCATGGCTGGTCTAGCACACCACAAAATTTCAGCCATGGCTGAAGCTTGCAAAGCTAAGCGTCTCATGGCCTTCAGCGTTGGTGAAACCAGAGTTATTGTTACGTGCAATCCAGACGTAGCAAAAGATATTCTAAACAGTTCGGTGTTTGCGGATCGTCCCGTGAAAGAGTCGGCCTACACTCTCATGTTCAACAGAGCTATTGGGTTCGCTCCTTATGGTGTTTACTGGAGAACCCTGCGGAGAATCGCAGCCACACATCTCTTCTGTCCAAAGCAAATCAAAGCATCAGAGGCCCAGAGGTTCGAAATTGCACACCACATGGTGGCCATGTTTGGTGAACAGAGAGGAGTCATTCGAGTTCGTGATGCACTGAAACGAGCTTCACTCAACAGTATGATGTGCTCTGTATTTGGACGCAAATACCTACTTGAATCCTACTACAACGCTGAAACGGACGAGCTAACGAAGCTAGTTGATGAAGGGTACGAGCTTTTGGGAACTTTCAACTGGTCCGACCACCTTCCCTGGCTAGCTGATTTTGACCCACAAAAAACCCGGTTCAGGTGCTTCAAACTTGTCCCCAGAGTGAACCAGTTTGTGAGCAAGATTATCGCCGAGCACCGAGCTCAGACTGGCGAGCAACACCACGATTTCGTTGATGTTTTGCTCTCTCTTCAAGGAAATGATAAACTTTCGGACTCCGACATGATCGCCGTGCTTTGGGTAAGCAATACCTATATCATCTTTCGTAGAGAGTACACAATCTTAAATCTCTGGGAAGTAGGGTTGGCCGTAATCACACAACACAACTAATACTAGCACTTGGACTAGCCTGTAATATTGGCTATATTGATCATAACGGTTACGAAAAGATACAAAATAAAAAAATAATTGAATTTGGAGAGGAAAAATAAATGAGTAAGGATATAAAAATTAACATAATTTATTGATGTAACGATGTAATATTGGCCGTGACGGTAAATAAAAATAGGATGATTTAATAATATTATTGTAATTATAACTATTGTACTGGGCTTTATTATTTGACACATTATTGATTCAATAAATTTTATCAAATTTTTATATTGTAAATAACATTACTCAAAATAAATTACATTACATTACATGTAAATTGGAATACCATCAATTATATACACATGTCACTCTCCATGTGTATCTTTGCATGTCTTAATTCATCCTATTTAACTGCAGCTTAATATTGTCATTATGTTTTGCTTGCAGGAAATGATATTTAGAGGAACTGATACAGTAGCGATTTTGATAGAATGGATACTAGCCAGGATGGTGCTTCATCCTGATGTTCAATCAATGGTCCATGATGAGTTGGACAGAGTCATCGGAAGCTCTCGTGCAGTAACAGAGTCTGACATCACAGATATGGAATATCTACCGGCTGTGGTGAAGGAAGTATTAAGGCTACATCCACCGGGTCCACTTCTCTCGTGGTCCCGATTGGCAATTTTTGACACTACGATTGATGGGTATCACGTACCGATGGGGACCACAGCCATGGTGAACATGTGGGCCATTACAAGGGATCCACAGGTGTGGATGGACCCACTTGGATTTAAGCCCGAGAGGTTCCTGAATGGGACCGATCAGGGTGGGGAGTTGTCAGTCTTGGGCTCCGACCTGAGGCTCGCACCTTTTGGGTCAGGGAGGCGAAGCTGCCCGGGTAAGACCTTGGGCTTGACCACTGTAACCTTTTGGGTGGCGTCCCTGTTGCAGGAGTTCAAGTGGGTTCCCGCAGAGCAGAAGAATACAGTGGACCTCTCGGAAGTGCTGAGGCTCTCCTGCGAGATGGCTAACCCTCTCACAGTGAGGGTTCAACCAAGGCGTAAGTCAAGTTCATTGTGTTAGAATGTGATGGGAATTCGTACAAGAAATATGGAGGCGGCAGGAAAATGGGGGAATGAAGTCTTAACTTGTCTATAAATATCTTGGCCGTCTTTGCTCGCTGTTATGTTTGGTTGTCAACTTTGTTTTTTTTTTTCCTTCTGTTGACCTTTTGGAGGTTCAGTGTCGATGTTCCTTAATTTATTTGACTATGATGTATAAACAGTGTGAAATTAAAGACAAGTTTCAGCCAGAAATCTCTCTCTTACTACTAAATTTTGATTAGCATTGAACAACTTATTTACCCCTCCCCCCCCCAAAAAAAAAAAAAANAATAATTGAATTTGGAGAGGAAAAATAAATGAGTAAGGATATAAAAATTAACATAATTTATTGATGTAACGATGTAATATTGGCCGTGACGGTAAATAAAAATAGGATGATTTAATAATATTATTGTAATTATAACTATTGTACTGGGCTTTATTATTTGACACATTATTGATTCAATAAATTTTATCAAATTTTTATATTGTAAATAACATTACTCAAAATAAATTACATTACATTACATGTAAATTGGAATACCATCAATTATATACACATGTCACTCTCCATGTGTATCTTTGCATGTCTTAATTCATCCTATTTAACTGCAGCTTAATATTGTCATTATGTTTTGCTTGCAGGAAATGATATTTAGAGGAACTGATACAGTAGCGATTTTGATAGAATGGATACTAGCCAGGATGGTGCTTCATCCTGATGTTCAATCAATGGTCCATGATGAGTTGGACAGAGTCATCGGAAGCTCTCGTGCAGTAACAGAGTCTGACATCACAGATATGGAATATCTACCGGCTGTGGTGAAGGAAGTATTAAGGCTACATCCACCGGGTCCACTTCTCTCGTGGTCCCGATTGGCAATTTTTGACACTACGATTGATGGGTATCACGTACCGATGGGGACCACAGCCATGGTGAACATGTGGGCCATTACAAGGGATCCACAGGTGTGGATGGACCCACTTGGATTTAAGCCCGAGAGGTTCCTGAATGGGACCGATCAGGGTGGGGAGTTGTCAGTCTTGGGCTCCGACCTGAGGCTCGCACCTTTTGGGTCAGGGAGGCGAAGCTGCCCGGGTAAGACCTTGGGCTTGACCACTGTAACCTTTTGGGTGGCGTCCCTGTTGCAGGAGTTCAAGTGGGTTCCCGCAGAGCAGAAGAATACAGTGGACCTCTCGGAAGTGCTGAGGCTCTCCTGCGAGATGGCTAACCCTCTCACAGTGAGGGTTCAACCAAGGCGTAAGTCAAGTTCATTGTGTTAGAATGTGATGGGAATTCGTACAAGAAATATGGAGGCGGCAGGAAAATGGGGGAATGAAGTCTTAACTTGTCTATAAATATCTTGGCCGTCTTTGCTCGCTGTTATGTTTGGTTGTCAACTTTGTTTTTTTTTTTCCTTCTGTTGACCTTTTGGAGGTTCAGTGTCGATGTTCCTTAATTTATTTGACTATGATGTATAAACAGTGTGAAATTAAAGACAAGTTTCAGCCAGAAATCTCTCTCTTACTACTAAATTTTGATTAGCATTGAACAACTTATTTACCCCCCCCCCCCCCAAAAAAAAAAAAAAACAAACAAACAAAGATCGAACGGTTTGTAACTTGGAAAAGATGTATGTTTGCTGCCTGGTTGCATATTGTATGTGATTGTGAAGTCCCAACTCTTGGCTCTAAACACTCTGCATGTTAGCAATGAAAGCTTGGTAATTAGGTGGGTTTGTCCCAATTACTAACTTGTTCACGCGGTACGACCTGGAGTTTAGTCTACAATTAATTTGCATTAGGGTTAGGAGCACCCCATGGATCTATCATCACTGCATATGAAAAAAACATGGGCCCTGGCTTTAACTATGTGAATTGCAGGAATTCACTTCAAGGTTATTAATGTGTCATGGCGATTGATCTATCTATGTACATACAACACGTCTCCCCTAGCCACATGAAACAGCTGTGATTGGCTCGAGAGTTTGTATATCAAACAAAGCAATTTCTAAATTGTGCATAAATTAATAATCGCCATCATATTGGTCTGTTTGATAATTATATTCTTAATAGTGTAGTAAGTAGAAAAGTACTCCACGTTTACCTTGTGAGATTGGACCCAGTTACAAATTAAAGCTGGGATTAGTTAGATAAGATGCGAATCAAATATCATTTTCCAACCTTCTTGGGATAAGCAGGAGAGATGAGGATGAGGACAGTTATAGCACTGTAGATGACACCCCATTAGATATAGAAAACTTTTGATGGTTTCCATGTCGGTTTTGATTGAACAATCTCTTTCTAATATAATGGCCATCCACACATGCAACTGATCTCATGAATGAAGCCCATTGGAGGACAATTTTGATATTCATGGCCACCAACAAGTTCCAGCCCCGAAAAGATTTGCAACTCAGCTCAGTGTGAACACAATATTAAAGTTGCTAATATAATTTGGGAATTTCGTCAGCTGGTCGAACTCTATAGGTTTTTGTGTGCGTCATGATGATTAGAGGTTGAGTACTATTGTTAAATGCAGCTGTCCCTTGTTTGTACATCACATTCGGTCAGCTTTCAATACCCCAGAAAAAAATTTTGCATGCAGTTTGTGCGATTGATGGCTCTGCCGCCATCCAATAATCTTTCTTGCCTATTCTCCCTGGTTCTGTTGTAAGGATATTCAAGTGTGAGATTAATGATCAATCATGGGTTAAATTTTTGAACCGTCCAGGGTGGCAAGACATTTGAGCAATGTTGAGAATTTTTTAATCAAGTAAAGTAAAACTATCTAAAATAGATAGAGATGGGGGTGTATACACAGGATGTCTGGGACTCAAAACTGGTGCTAACAATGTGCATTAGGCCCGTAATCACAAATACATAGGTTAAATCTGGGAGTCACCAGTGAGATTTGAGTTTGAATTTATAGTTCATTCCAGTTAACGCACACCATTGGACTACCAACCTATGTCTGTTAATTCTTTTTATGCTTTCATAATCTTAAAAGACCGACAAATGCAGAAAGATCAAGAAGAAGATATTGTGCAGACAGTGATGTTTGGGGGTTTCTGGCCGCTTGACTTATGCAGTTGTAACAGTTCAAGAGCCACGGTGCCAGTGACAAGGATCTAATGAACAATTCGGACATTTCTCTAGAAACAGTGACAAAGACTTCCCACCTGTGCAATAGTTAAATTTGAATGATGTAGAGTCCATAGGAGCAGCAACACCCTTCCTATGGGGCTTGTCTAAGGAGCCTAGACAGCGATCGTGACTTGGAAAGAAACCTCCACACACCAAACAAAAACAAGATGACTTCCCCTGTTTGGATAAGGAACAATTAATGGAGTTCAAAAATAAGGTGGTCCTCCGGAACTAGTTTTGATGTCGATTTCAATCTAATTGCTCCTTTGGGATGATGATTAGATTACCACTAGACCAAGCCTACTGGTTGATGTAATTGAATAACCAGTGTATAGTGTGTATATATATATAGATATGTAGTGTGCTTACTATTTTATTTTTTTTAACATGTATATTCAGTTGGATCACAACTTGTTTATTAAATACGAGTTTAAGGGTCATATGGCACAGAACTCAGCCGAGGAACTTGTTGATTTTTTTAACCTGTGATGACAACATTGCTTGTAAAACCCAGTGACATGAAGTTCAATCATCGTGTAGAATTATAGTTAAAAGACTTGGAAAGGTCTCTCTCTAATGGTTGGACATAAAATTAATTCTTGTATTAAACATAGGTAGGCATATGTTGTCATGAACCCAACCAATCAAGTGCTGCACCGTGTTGATCCAAATTAAGATCAAGAATAGGATGTGGAAGTAGTGGAGTACTCCGAATTGAATTTCTTGTTTGTTATATCTTATCTACAGACTTCCCCATCTGTGTAGTTGGTGAACTTCCTTAATCATGATTCTTAATCCACTCAACAGTTCCTGAAATTATGAATGTGGTGTCGCACATCCCACGAATCGTGCTGATTGACATATATCAGTTGTATGTCCACTAGAAATTTCAAAGTTCCTTCGTAGGTATTCATGATACCAAAAATTAATCAAAACTAAGCTCAGCATAGTAACATATCAAGGGTTTACCCTCGATAAGGATCCACGATATATTGTCAGAATTTGAGTTCCAATCAAGATACTTAAGATCAAGTAAACGAACTGACCTCTCACTTCCAAGTGGTCACCTCGGTTCAAACACCTCAGTTTAGATGTCACAGATCAGACGTATTAGGTCAGACCTCATATCTCAAATCCTCCAGCTTGAGACTCCTAGTTCGAGAGGCGCATGTCGAGAATGGTCACCAACGTGACCATCTAGAGGATCACGTCACACTAATGAAATGTAGTCTCTGATGGTCAAATATTTCACCACATGGGTTGTAATAACCCCAAAGGAATCACGTTGATTACACAAGGATCGCCCTGGTTACACGAAGATCACAGAAATTATGCAAGGCAACTGTACACTTTAAAGAGGGATCAAATCCCCCACACTCGGTAATTTTGTAACCTCCTACCCCATGTAATAAAGAATTCCTCCAGGAGCAAGTAACTCCTTTAGAGTTAATTTGTCAAGCTTCTGAGTTGGTAAACCACTATAAACATTCTGACTATTAAATTCTACTCACAACTATTTTCCCTAAATTGATTATTCACCTACCAAGAGTCAAAAAGCTCAAACTGGATACTCCAATAATCCCCATAAATAGATCATCAATCCATTTACCTCTACTCAAACCGCGCAGAATACACCATCATGTATCCTTTCTGGTATTACTCACAATTGCTCTGCAATATTCCATATTGCTACCATTCAAGTGTTATAACTATTCCACTGGAAAAACAAAGGGAAAAAAGCTAGAAAACTGCTGCCAGGAAATTTATGAAATATATTTCATATGTCCTATTGTTTCTTGATAGTTTCCAAGGTTAGCATGGTTGTGGTTGTGTTTCTTATCATTTTTCCCTTACTTCCAAAAACCATATGTATTATGTTCTGTAAACTAGGATTTACAACTTTGTCATCAATCACACTCTGAGATTATTGATGTGTTCGATTGCAACAATAATTTCATCGTGTGTTATATATCCAATTTGGCTTCTCACGCAGGCTTGAAATGTTGCATTAAGTTATTGTTTACTAATTGATGGTACCTAAAATATAGCTCAGTTTGAGTTCGGTCCTTTAGCTTGGCCATCTGAGCTTGAATCACACAAATTGTGATGAGCTGTTAGAGGTGCTCAAGTCGGTTTTCCCCAACAACAATGCCACCAAGGATGACAGTTGGTACCCACCAAAGCACGCATAAATCTCAACAGTCTTACATTTAGGCAAGAGAGCCACAACCGCCAAGGCACCACCTATGGTGACTGCATAACATACGCATCTGTTACAGATATGGGGCAAGGATCATATTGGGAAATCAGGCAAGGCCCTGGGAGGCTATAAATAAGAGACATATTCCTCACAATGTACCACAAACAATTAGCTAGAACCAATACTCTGTGTAATCTTCCCTCTTATCAAAAGACTCTCTTAAGAATGGATTACCCGAGCTCTTAAGCTAGTGAACCACTATAAACTATTTGTTTGCAATCCCCTATAATTTGTTCAATTCCAAAGAAGCCTAAGAGCTCAGACTAGGCCTTTCAGTAATTCTCCATCCCCAATCAAACCCAACTCTATTCAATTGTGTAGCACACACCATCAATTAGCGACATATGTGGAAAACATTTGTTTTAAATTCTACTAATCACTTCAGTAATTGATGGTCCATGCACAACATGAGTAGAAATCAAATGAACCTTCTACATTTGAAAAACCAACAAGAAATCATCACTAAGAGGCAATAGAAGAACCCTTTAAACTCCTTGCCTAATCCTGAAACTAATCCACCAATGGCAGACCCCCCCCCCTCCAAGCAAAGAACTCAAGGCCCTTCGTCAAGCCAACAATCGCCTCCTCTAGCAAAATGAGGAGTTACTAAACCTCATCCACGCCCAACATCCCTTGAGGACACAACTAGCCCAAGATGATCCCGAATGAAGGGAACATCAACACCCCAATCCCTTAAGGAAAATTACAGAGGAGAATGAACATAGCCAATTAGTTGGCAACATCCGTCGTCGAGCTCAAAGGAGTGGAGAGGATGATGAGGTACAGAGCCAAAATAGGGGGGCTCATAGAAACGAGCTCCCCCCATTCCAGCAAGAAAGAAAAGAGCAATTTTGGGAGCAACGCTTCAAGGAAATCAAGCAGGCATTCAACCACATGAAGAAGATTGTAAAAGGAAAAATTCTGATGACCATGGACGCCTTGGTCCAACAAACAGTCCCCGTTCACTCCTGAAGTGCTACATTACCCTCTTCCCTATAAATTTAGGATGTCGCAGATAGAGACCTTCGATAGAACAAAGGATACCATGGATCGCCTCAATACTTACAAGAACCAGAAGGAGTTGCATGGTTATCAAGATCTAGTGTGATGCTGAGC